CTAAATCGCGGATCAAAATAATTGATATATAATTATATGTACAGACGATACTAAACTCAATTTACCCGCCTAAACTGTCCGTAGCGTGGCGCTGGACGGCGGAAAGTAGTTCGGCTGCCCGATGACGTTTTACGTAATTATAGGAGTTTTTTACCTTTGTTTACAGATACCGCCACAATTTTTTCGCCGTCTTATAGGAATCGTAATTATAGGAACCCGTCTTATAGGGGGATCTACTGTATTTCATTGCAGACTCATTAAAATATAAAATGTAATGGCTTAAGTGATCCTATTATGCAACTTGTTCCATCGAATGTATCTAGTTATTTCAGTTTCTTCAATACTAGAGATTGAAATTTCTTATAAACAATTAAAAGAACGTTTAAAATATTAAAATGATAAGTTTTATTCGTACATTTTCTTGAATTCTATTAAATTACAATAATTTTTAAACAAATAGTTTGGGGAATCGTCAACAAACTTAACAAAAATAATTCTATGGAATTTCGTCCAGTGTAACCTACTCCTACTTCTCTGTATATAACATAGTCCTACTTCTGAATTCTTCCACGTTAAATCTGGAAGATGGATGCGATAAAGGCATCAACCTTCTGCTCTGGGAAATCCCGAGTCCGAGGTAAGCTCAAGAATTCGGATTCTGTTCCTCATGAGTGTGGAAGTTTAGATAATTAATGAAATTATCACCTAATCATAATCATCTCAAATTGAGTTAAAATGATTTTATTTATTTCTTTTTTAAAAAATATTTATGTATTATTAAAAAATTTCTAATTATTTGGAGTTCGAACAATCACAATCAAATGCTAAAAACCAAGCTCCGGTACAATTATCGTTGAGACTTTCTATTTTATCATCGACAGCATTCAGCCAGCATTCATTTTTATCAAGAATAAAATCTGCCGATCTGCAATCGGGAGTCTGGGCACAGAATAACATGCATTCTTTATCACTCTTCACCTTTTTAAATCCGGCATTATTCAACTCGATGCATTTATTTTTCTTTATTCCGTAATTAACTATAAAAAAAGAGTAAAGTTATACGAAATTAAAATTTCTATAATATATTTATGGATAGTTAATTTAAAAAGCGAATTTAAAAATAGAATTTTATAACAAAACCTCACTTATGTGACCACATTCTGTTTTAATTTCTGGCCACATATCTGGCCTCTAAACATCCACTCTTTAATTATGATCAGCCTGTATTAACACAGAAAAAGTGTATTGAAAAATAAAGTACAGTATATGTATAGTGAGTGCAAACTGCAGTAAGGTTCATCAACTACTGTACAGTATAATTATTTAGTACATATGGAAGAGAATCAATTTAAAGGGTAAACACCCTGTAAATTGCATAAGCAGCGGCAACTGTCCAAGTTTTTTTATGCACTAATCACAATCCTTCAATATGTACACCCATGGTCACACGACACACATCTACACGGTAATCATATTCTTTCCATATGCGGTGTAGCGAGCGTATCCTCTGTGATGGTCTGCAATGCATGGTTTATCCGATCACACAGTTCCTCGAGGGACACGGGCATTGACGGTACATAAACTCGGTCTTTAACAAACCTTCACGAAAAGAAATCGCAGGGTGTTAAATCTGGCGAACGGGATGGCCAGAAGAGCAGGTTGTTGTATGTTGTTGCACCACGTCAAATCCAGCATTGGTGAAGAACACGATTAAGAAGCTCGCGTACATTCCTGTGAACTTGGATAGCTGCCGCTGCTTATGCTGTAAGGCAGTGTTTTTCAACCTTTTTCATTGAGTGACACACCTAATTGAAAAATAACAAATCGTGACACTCTTGACCAGCGGCGGATCTAGAATCTGAATAAGGGGGGACTAATGTGCCAGATGAATTTTTTGCGAAAACGAATATTACGCGCAACGCAAAAGTGTTTCTACGTGTTCAAAATCAAAATTTAAGTTCATTGAATTTTGTCGAAATACCTACATGTAAAATAATAGTCTCGCTATTGTTTTTTAAATACAGTGGTACCTCAGGATACGAAATTAATCCGTTCCGAAACTGAGATCGTATCATGAAAATGTCGTAAGGTGAATCATCTTTTCCCATACGATTACATGTAAAACCAAATAATTCGTTCCAACGCGAAAAACATACTCAAATTAAAGCCAAGTAATACATT